TAAGTAAATGACTGAACTACCTACTTTGATAAGATTTCCTAGTTTTGCATCGCCGACAGCAAGCTGTTCACTCTCCTCGACTTTTCCTTTGAGCAGCTTCTTCAATGTCTTATTCATTTTTCCCTCATGTAGAGAGCTAGCACATTCAACGGCGTCTGCAGTGCTTTTGAATTTCTTGAATGCTATTAACTGTAAGCTGAAATAAACCCATACGAGATGGCATTTTCTGAGAATGAAATCTTGCACTAAGTTACTTTTCTTGGGCCTTCTCTGGCGTCTCAAACTCTTCATATATATTGTCCACATTTTTGAGCTTTTTCTCATTCTGCAGTTTAAACATAGCATAGCCGGCGGCGGTCTCAAATAACACCAGCATTTTGACCCTGCAATGATATTGGGGAAAAGTTGATATACACATAACTGAAATTTATCAAAGAAAATCTAACAAGGCGTTAGGTAGGAAATATTTAATTAAACCTATTGAAGCGATGCTAAAAATAAAAAAAGCAGAACCATGCCAATACTGCGTGGATCCCCGCACTTCGCGCACAGAACGGAATGGAGCGCACATGTGGCTGAGGGTCTGCTTCGAAAAGAAGAAAATCTCGAGATAAAACGACAATTTTAAGAATCGCTCTATTATTCAGATGTATGAATGGCCAAGTCCGAGAATCCTCTCTTTTCTTACTCTCTGTCAGGTTTAATGTTCAAAATTGTAGTTCGCCGCTTAACATTTTTCCTCAGAAATTCGTAGAAATATAGGATTTCTGCAATGAAACTAGTAGAAAAACGTTGCTGACTAGACCCATAGTTAAACGCATGTTTTTGTCATTTTTGTGATTTACATTTTAACCCACTTTCCTTCTTGTAGTATGTACACTTTAGAGGCTTCTTGCATCTACATCACTCTAGATACCTACTCGTAATCAAGTGTTTTGCAAACATATCAGGAGCCCCTTATGCAAAGGAGCCATCTTTCAGGCTCAGAATTAGCAATACATCTCGATCCACTGTGTGTAGTGTTTACGCGAAGGTTTCGTCTTAGAGCGCATAGTGTATTCTCACATCAAACACCGAATCTAGAAACCAGAGTCATAATTGCCTGGAGAGGTCAGCGAATATAAGTAACCCCTGTATAATGTTGTAGAGAATTTTTGCAGTCTAAGTTTTGACTTAAAAAGCCAATAGGAAGATAACATTCTGTTAAGAAAAACTGACTACTTAGCGGTAGTTTTATGCATCTTGGATTTGAAACGGATAAAAAACTTTGTATTCCAAAGCAAATAGTTTGAGCGAATGGCCAAAAAGAAGGTAGGAAGTTCACTAACCTTGTCTAATCTTCTTCCATCATCAATAAGTCGTTAACTTAATATAACATAGAAAATCTTTATATCGTAATAGTATGTACCAGTAAATTCAATTGACATTGCATGTCTTCTTTTAACAGTTAACAGGGATGATCAATATTCTCTCAAGAAGTGGGAAGAGAAGCTGTAGGCTGGGACTGTTCCGGTGGACGAGGTGGAGGTTGCAGCTTCGTTTCCAGCAATGGCTCAAGAGCTTTTCTTTTCTGAAGTAAAGAAGGGAATGTTAGCAGTGAAACACTAAAGCTCTGATGGCAAATTTATATACAAAAAATAAACCTGAGGAGGAACAAGCCGGTTCTGTTTCATAACATACGCACGGACATCTGCTCTGAATTTACAACGAAATTATGATTTAATGGCGACGGTGTATACAAGACAACATACAGGGCTTTTCCAAGGGCTCCACGGATTTGAGGTCCCCACTCAACACGAGCCTTTCTGCGTTCCTCAAGAGCTGCTGTGCGAATCGCATCTATTGGCCCTAGCTCTTTCCAGTAACTAAATATGTGTTTAAAGGTGAGCAATGAATGCGTAATTATAGAAATCCATAATCTCGCAACTGCAATGCTATTTCAAGAGTGTTTTATACTGAAACGTTTTTCAAAAACTATCTCTGGTTCCTTTTGTAATTAATTTATAAATGTTTTTGTTTACTAGTTAGTGTTAATCATGGCAACCATTTCTTCTTTTCCTGCAAAAAAATGAGAGATCACCGAGGGGGACGGGCGATAAGTTGGTCGGCCGTCATAGATAACTCCGGATGACCCAAGCCAAACCCATCAAGCAAACAGTCTGGAAACAAAAATCACATAATTTTATAGAGGCAAATGTAAAAATACAGAGATCCAATTCGTGAAGCATACTTATGAGGATATCGACAATTTCTTCGGGAACATCCAGTAGCCTCTCATGTTTACCACATTTACCCGTTTGTCTGCAAGCATAAGTCTGGATTCGCTCAACAGGATCGCATGCCTGGAATTCAATTCACTTAGAAGACTTAAGAGGAACTTTTAGTTCACATTTATAATTCAATGAATTAGATGATCCAGAATGCCTAAAAAGAGTAAGATAACCTTAGGAGTAACTGCTGCCGTGGAAACGGGATAAGAATGAGCCGTCAATAAAATTACGTTTTGCTAATTTTCGAAGCAGATTTGCTCAGACATCGAAGAGATCAGGCGGCCGTAATAACGGGGAAGAGGGGGTGGGTATTACTTACGGGCTGAGGAAAAAGACAACAAATGTCGAAGAAAGTGTGCCGGTTTTTGGCACTACTTCTTTTCCATCGTTTACTTTTGGCCATAAAAAGACATGATTAGGCAGCGTCGCAGAAAATGACCAGAAATTTTTGTCCTCATAATAGTTGTTTTGGACGTTATCGACAGTTACAAGTCGGTGTAAATAAAAATCAGATGGAAAAAATTCTAGGCTTTCAGGTCTCTTCGTTCTGCGACACCCGGTCTTTGCAAATTTAAAAAAAA